TACCTTGCCCCTAAGTGCTTGCCGGATTTTCGACGTGCTACTCTTGGAAATGAGGGCCGACAACCCCCGAAATGCCTTTTATATTGATCTGACGGTGGCGACTTTGGGCCCAATTGCCAGAAATTGACTAAATGATGCCATTAAGCATCTCTGGCATTTTACCGGATTGTGCGGCACACTGCGGCCCAAGCCGGCCGCATTATTCGCAACGAAGTTGCACTGTGCGTTGCGGTTCGGGTGGGTTCGGTCACGCAGTGCTGTGAGCCGCGGTGCCGACTGGTGCGAGCGGCGCCACGTGTGCAATGTGCACCAATCGGTGCGGTGCGGTGCAGTGCGGTGCGGTGAGGTGCTGTGCGTACTGGCGCCACGTGTGCAGTGTGCACCGATCGGTGCGGTGCGGTGCGGTGCGGTTCTGTGGGGTGCTGTACCTTTGCAAAGCGGTGCCACGTGTACATTGTGCACCTTCTGGTGCGATGCGGTCCGGTGCGGTGTGTATCCAAGCCTGATTCGCCAGCCAAATATTGTCCGGTTTGGCAGGGTATAAGCCGCGACCAGGACGCGAGGATTACCTGTCCAACCCGTTTTTCCTGTCCTCCTGTCGACTCATGCACTCAATCACAATGTTGAAACCAATATTGGGTGGTATGGTTAAATATAAGCCGAGACTTGGACACAATCATCTCGTGTCCGTCCTGTCCTCCTGTCGAACCAACCCATGAATTACTAATTTCCTGTATATTGCGAGGTATGGCCTTACATACATACATATTGGCAATTTGGATCCGAGAGGAAAAACTCTGTACTAGTAATCTGTTATATTCTCTTCTCCAAAAAGTCAATTACAATATTGCATCTTTTCCAGGTATGGCCTTACATACATACATATTGGCAATCTGATCCGCAGGAGAAAACTCTGTACTACTAATCTGTTATATTCTCTTTTCCAAAAAGTCAATTACAATATTACATCTTTTTCAGGTCTGGCCTTACATATATACATATCGCCAAATCAGAACCGAAAGGAAAACTCCGTACTACTAATCTGTTATAATTCCTTCCCCAGAGAAGAAAAAAAAAATAACAGATTGTAGTATGAGAGTTTGGATCCTTTCGGGAGCTTGCTAATATGTATGTATGCAAGGTCCCCTTCGCGAGGCAAAATCGTGCGAGGGTTCCCCGCCTATACCAAGGTCACCCTTCATAAGTGCTTGCCGGGTTTTGGAAGTGCTACTCTTGGAAATGAGCGCCGACAACCTCCAGAAATGCCTTTTATATTGATCTGAGGGTGGCGACCTCCGGCATAATCTGGCAAAAATTGGCTATATTATGCCACTCAATGCCATTGGCAGGTTACCGCCTTTTACGGCATACTGCGGCCAGAGCCGGCCGCATTACCCGCAACAAAGTTCGACTATACAGGGCGGTGCGGAGCGGTGAGTCACCGTGCGGTGCGGTGCGATGCGGTGCGGTGCTGCACAGTGCGGTGCTGTTGGGTGCGGTGGGGTGCTGTGCGTATACTGCTGGCGCCCTCCTTATGTCCGACCTGTCCTCCTGTGTCCAGTCGCTCAGATCAACAGATCACAAGCCTGCCTGATTCAGCATAGCACTCAAGCTTTAGTCAAGTGTGTCAGCTGCCAAGTGCAGGGAATGGCTGGACGCTGCCATATTGGGTGGTGGCTGCAACTCACGGTGTTCACTGCTCTCTGGGTCAGCAACTTGGCAATGGCGCGCTGTGGCACTTTTGGAAGACTGCAAATCAGGTTGCAGGTGCCCCAAATCTCAATGTCTTTTCAAACAGCAGAGGAGCATCTTGGGGAGTGGTCCATGAGAAGCTTACAAGTGGGCAATTCGGAAAGAGGAGTAGCTCGGTCAAGCGCCACAGCCGCATGCAATGGGTACGCTCTGAAAAGTGGCAAAATTGGAGGTGAGTTTCCAAAGTGTCCTCGCTTCCCTCTGTTTGCTGATTGCCCCCGCTGTTGTTCTGATTGTTTGCTTGCTATTGGGCTGATTGACACTTGCTGTGGAGCTCAATGAGAGTTTGCTCAGGCTGAATTGGGGCTTGCTGTCCAAGCTTTCGGAGCCCGCTGACTACTGTCGGGCTGACGTGCGTGTTGCTTTGCAGGTCTGCTGCGCGGCTTGTTAGCGGGCTCGTGGAGCTGCTTGGGGGGCTGATTGCTCTCTTGCTGTCTAGGCCACTCACAGGAACGACGCACCACTCTTCTGTGAGGCTGCTGGGGGCTGATTGCGGACGCGCTGTAGAGCTGATCGTGCCCCTGGTGGGGCTAATTGCAGGTACGCTGCGGGGTAAATGCGGCCCCGCTGCGAGTTAACTTTGGGCCCACTTTGGGATTCGACGTTTGCAAGGCCCAAAGCTCGCACATGTAGAAGTGTTCGAATGTTCGTTCTGAGTTCAATCTGGTGGTCAAATCTGGTTGATCAAAATGCTTCATTGTCGCTATTGCTGTGTTGATTGGAAGTCCTTTCTTGGGAAGCGTTTGTGCAGCTCTCTTTAAATCTGCTGTGGGCTGGTTTTGGCCCCTGGTCAGGGCCTGCGGTCAGGTGGGTTCTTGGTTCTTTGGGGGCTGCCCTGTGTTTGAAACAGCTTTTAGGCTGCTTTTGGACCTGCGGTCGTCAAACACATAAACATGCAGGTTGAGGAGCACGCTTTGGAAGGTTGGCGGGGGTAAGGTGAGTCGATTCTGTCTCGTTTTTTAGCGTGTTTGAGTTGTTTCAACCTTGGGTCCAAGAAAAGCGGATGCGAGTGTCTCATGCCATACCTTCTGGAGGTGGAAGCTGATGGTGTATGCTATGTCTCTTTGGTGTTTTGTGCATCAGCTTCTTTCAAGCATTATTGACGTGCCAAAGTCTGTTTGTCTTTTGGATGGGTTCTCCAGGAAACGGCACAAAGCATGCAAGTTGTTTTTGCTTTTTGAGTTCGTGTGATGAGCATCAATTTCTCTGAAGTAGATTGGCAGGAAAGCGGAAGCTGGCGGAGACGTAGCGAAATAACGCCCATATTGGGTTGGCGCGTTGCTTGCTCTGGGCCTGATTGGGAGCTCTACTTGTGCTTGCTGTGGTACCTGTGGAGCCGCGCGACAAAGTGCTGATTTGGGGGCCGCTATCAGGTTCATGTAGAGCCCGCCGTCTCTTGATCTAGGAGCTGCTGTCAGGCTGGTTGCAAGCACGGCATGATGTTGATTTCCTGTCAGCCGAATCAATTGGAGTCCTGTTGATTGGGTGTTGGGACCGCTGCCGGGACCCGCTGTCAGACAGGTTGTGGGCCCGCTGTTGGGCTGATTGAGAGCCCACTTTTGGGGCTGCTTTGGAACCTCTAACCAAATCATTTGACGCCTGTTTCTAGGCTGATTTCAAGCTTGCCACAAAGCTGATCAGTACAGCCCTGTCGGGGCTGATTTATATCTTTAATCAAATTGTTTAAATGCCCCGCTGTTGGGCTGACCTGAAGCCCGCTGTCAGGCTGATGGCGGGCCCGCCGTAGAGCTGATCAGAAGCTCCTTCGATGTAAGTTTGGCACTCTAGTATTGACATTTCTTGGGCCTGCGCGGCAAGTGTCAACTTTCGTGGGGCTGATTCCCAAGTACCTGTGCGGGTTCATTCGAAGGCTCCTATCAAAAGCTTAGACGGTATACAACAGCTTTTGCTCACAGCCACAATGAGCGCTGACTCGTCATCATCTGCCTTGAATTGCAGATCATGGAACTCGAGCTCTGGAAGAGAGACGGCGGCCGCTTTGTTTGCCTCGAACAGCATGCGAGCGAGGCAAGAAGCTGCGGCAAGCCTTTCGTGTCAAAGCAAGCTTTGGAAGGCCACCGGAAGCGGACGGGGTGTGAACCCTGGGAA